AAGTATCGTCGGTTTTAACTCGATTTAGTTGGTTTTTCGTTGATTCACGACGATCCGACCATCCGTTTTCGACACCTCCTGCACCATCTTGTTTCTTGCATCCTTCCGAGTCCGCCGGTGTCCTCCGTTTCTCCGTCGTCGTCGGCGCGTGGAGGGGTGAGAAAGTCAAAGTTTTCGATGTTTCGGAATCGAGCTCTCCGACGTTCAAAATTGTGAACTGCGCTCGGTAAGTGTCTCAAAATAACTTAAAATAATTTTTAAGATTTTTTCGGAATTTTCTGACACCGTATCACTGTTCACGCACCGCACGCGCCGCCACTACGCGTAGGGAGTGCTAATTTTGTAATTAATTTCTGTTAAGGTGATATTTATGTAAATTTTGGGTGTTAGTTTTGTAAATATTTGTAGAATGTGCTAATTTTTAATTAATTTCTCTTAGGGTGATATTTGTGTAAAACGGTCGACTGTTGACCAGCGTTGACCACAGTTGACCAGCATTGACCGGTATTGACCGAGCGTTGAACGACCTTTGACTTTGACTGGGTATACCTATCTGACGTTTTTCGACGTTCTGAGTCCGATTCCGTAGTCCATTTTTCGAAATTCGGACCCAAAGGCCTCGAAATTGCCAGTCAAACCTGTTGACTTTGACCGAAAAGTTAAATTTTTTGAAAAGTCATATTTTAAGTTTTTGATGTCTCGAATCTGTTTTTGGGGTTTGTTTCGCCAAACTCGAACCCGATAAAATGTTTTTGATTAATTTATCACCCGATTCGATCTGTTTTTCGGAATTAAGCTCCGCTTTTTATGTGATTTCTGTTGATATGGATTCGAGGAAATATTGGAAGTTGAATTAAAGATCAAAGGCGTTCGAATAGAATTTATATGGTCGATAAACCATCCAGCTCAGTTGGTAGAGCACAAGGTTCTTAACTTGAGGTCGTGGGATCAAGTCCCATGGAGGGCATTTCATAATTCGGGGTCTCTACGCAAGTTGCTCTCAACTTAGTGTTGGGGGCAGCCTACTATCTTACCTCCCCCTTACCCCATTACATATGGGAACAAGGGATAACCAATCAGTATGGCACGAAAATTGAGGTAATACTTTACTACCTCTTTATGCTTTATGAAACATGTGAATATTGGTAAATGCATGATTATGATAATATTGATCTCATTTGTGTAGTTAATTAATTTTTATACTTGATGTGAATACGGTAAAAAGGTTCAGTAATTTATTATGGTTCAGATGACTGATATAGGAAATTGAGGGATTGTTAGAATTAAATTACAAGTTCTGTGCTCAGTGATAATGAAATCAACCTGGATCTGTAACTTATAATTTATTTCATCAAAGGTTAAATGTTAAAGGTACTTGGATGAGAAATTATGAGAATAGTGTGATATGATAAAATTACAAAAATACCCTTATGTTATAAAAAGATAAGATTTGACTATGGAACTTGGATAAGAGGTTTTAAAGACATATTGATCTGATGAAACTAATGATGTGCACAAAAAATACTAGTTTTGCTTAGAAAATATGGATAACCGGTTTTTAACCCAAGAGGATTTGAGCAAGAATCTAAGAGTCTGTTAAGGGAATCATTTCAAGATCAAAGAATGTTTGGGAAAGCAATCCAAATTATAAGTATGTTCGTTAAGAGTTAATACCGAAATTATCTGGTTAAGAAATTACGAAAATGCCATTGAGAGGTAAAAATAGTCTGTGTTGACCCTGAATGAGAAAGTAATTTGAAAATTCATATTTAACTCGATAAATTACGAATTTAATGGTTAAGATCCATCTTTGTATAGAAAATTCCTGATAACATGTTTGTAACTTCTGAGAAGGCAATTAACCTGAAAATCTCTGAGCTAAGAATAAATTATTGAGGGTGCTCTTTTGTTGTTCGGAAGAACTGGAAAAGATGATACATTAAAATTAAATAATAAGATCATATGGGAGGAAATGGTTGTAATACACTGGATCTGTAAACTGACCAAAATACCCCTGGAATAAGAATGACCAAGAATATCACCAAGCCCATGAATGAATAGATATCCTCAAGCTTTGAAATTAATGGAATAAAATTGAGCACCAAAATGACAAAATACCCTTATGGCCTATACTAAGTATATGTTTTGGATTAATTAAGGAATCCAAGTAAATATGGGTGTTGTACTAACCTTAAAAGTAATGGAACATAATTTAAGTGAGTAGATCAACCCTAAAGCTATCAATACCTGAATGGCATAGATATTACTTGAATGTGTGTTCGTCTTCTCAAGTTTGGCTCGATGATAATTTTGGAAGTATTCAGCTCATATCAACTCTAGATCACATTCATACTAAGAATTGGACGTTTGTTCGACAAATCAACTACGAAGACCAAATTGAATGGAACAAAAGTACAATATGTATATGAAATTCAGGAACGTTTGAATTACTCTAGAAAATCCCGAAGTAACTGGAATGGACTTGAATGCTAAATGAACTAAGTAACCTCAATGACTGAGGATTAAGTAAGTGATTAGGAAAAGCATGGAAACTCGGATAAACTTATATGATGTATCATCTCTATGGATTATGAACCACAAATCAAGTACGTCAGTATTTTATGGTATCGTGGAAGCATGAAAATGAAATAAAGAACATTAGAATATATGTTCGACTCCTTAAGATATGTTCAATGATAAAGAGTGAATACCTGGTAGAACAACGAATAGACCGGTCAACATGCATTAGTTTTGGGAGTTGTTAAACTTGAGTTATTTCAATAATCCGATAGATCGACACCGACTGTAAATGTTTGAATCTTCATTTCTTCCTTATCAGCTCAAGTCACATTCTGAATAACTGATGATTCTGTCAGTTATTGAACTCTTCCAATAGTTATTATGAATTCCGACATTCTATCGGTATACTGAAGATCCATGTGTCTCTACCTATTAAGATTATCTTGTACCTCTGAATAATATCATAAACTCTGGTGTGTTCCCTAATCACATAAATATTTTTATCTGATTTCCGACTTGAATTCTGTTCTGATATATTACATGAATTCTGTTCTGATTTCTGATATGGATTCTGTTCTGATATTTGATCTGAATTCTGTTTTGATTTATGATATCTCCTTTTACCGACGGAGAAATGTTTTATCTGGGGGGTTTATTGTTGAGAAGAATACTTACAGGTTCTTCGGCTTTGTGCTCAGGGCCTAACTATTGTGTCGGGGTTGTATGGTTCTGGGGAACCTACACATTATGTTGTGTTTGGATGGGGGAATTTACTATGGTTTTTGATAAATGTTTTATTTGGGAGTATTGTTGGAGGAAGAATATATGCAGACTCATCGGCTTTAAGCTCAGGGCCTAACTGTTGTGCCGGGGTTGTATGGTTCTAGGGAACCTACACATCATGTTGTGTTCGGTGGAAGGGATTACTATGGTTTTTGATAAATAAAAATATGTTTTAAAAAAAGATTTGTATCTTTTTACTGGTTTTACGGGAACACACTAGATAACCTATTCTGATCTCCTGAACTTAGTCATCTGAAATAATTCCCTGAACTGAAAGCTCATTATCTGTTACTACCTGAAATATCCGTAGGATCTTCGCTCAGCATAAAAATCTGTAGATGTTTGAACCGATAAGGAAATATATGTTTATCTATATATGTACGTTCTTCAGCATCATCTGGTAGTTCTGTATTACTGAGCTTTCCAAAACTCACTCTATTACTCATCTTTGCAAGTTAAAAGAATTGTACCAGTGCAGTTATCAACTTCAGTAAGGGAGTTCTTCCGGCGTTGTTTGTAGAGTATGATATATGTGATTAGGGGGCATGTAATTGTATTTTGTTTTATATACGAGTTTGAAAAAAATATGTTTTATTTATGCATAATGATAAATCATTTTATAAGTTACATGTTTTAATAAAAGTTTTAAATTTTCCGCTATTTTTACAGTGGGTTGCTCCGGTGGCCCTAATGTGACAACCCAGATCGGATCGGGTTACCCGCATCAATCGTCCCTTAATAAAAAAAATTGAAGCTCGACTCGACTCGATAGCTCATGAGCTTAAATTTTCTCAGCTTAAAAAACTTGAGCTCAAAATATTCTCAAGCAAGTCAATTGAAGCTTAAACTCGAGCTTGGTTCAAGCTCGAACTCGAGTTTGAATCTAAACCTTAAGTATATGAAAGTCTTATATTGTATTTGTGAATAAATAACATATAAATGTTAATATTATTAATAATTTAATTTAAAAAATTAAAAATTTCATATATATTTTTTAGTTGCTCACAAGATTTTGAGTCTGGTATCAAGGAGCTTGCTATGGCTCGTTAAAAATTTAAATCGAGTCCATCTGAATTGAGTATTGATCAAACTGTAACAAAATCAAACTCGAATAACTCAAAATAATACAACCCTACTTACGACCTTATCATTTTTCAAATACAATTGAGATATCAATCATAATTTTATAAATAATATTAGAAAATCTTCAGGGTGCCCTTGAATGAGAAATTTTGAAGATTTTTTAAATGTTGATACTTTGAAATGATTAATTTCGAAAATATAGTATTTATAATTTTTTTTTGTATAAACAATTATATTAAAAATTGTTTATCAGAATTTTATGAGTTAAAAAATAATTATAAAAAAAATATTGATATTAAAAATTAATAATATAAAAATATACAATATGGAATTTATCTTATTTTGACAAAATTTCTTTTTATTAACTCATGCTTCAACTCACTTGCAAAATGTAATTGGAATGAACAAATATTTAACTGTCAAAGTTGCAAAATCAGTTTAATTTTAATTGCCAATTTGCATGATTTCCCATTCATCAAACATGATCCATCACTCATATTCTTGAATCCAATTCTCATGATTTTTCATTTCAAATTCCTAAAAAATATTTCATGCATTGGTTATTACTGAAATCTCTAAGTTTTCTTCCACTGCTTTATCTTGGATTTGGCACAATGAGAGTAACCATTGTTGCTCGGGGACGAGAATTCGCCATGGAAATCGGTTTCCAGGAACCTGTTTTAGCCATCAAAAGTAAGTTAGAACAGTTCCTGGGAATTCCAGCAGGATCGCAAACACTTTCGGTATCCGGTTGGGAGCTCGTGGATGGATTAGACATGGATGATTATCCGATCGTCACACACGGTACCAAAATCGACCTTACCGCGACGAAACCGCTTTCGCCACCGATTAATCATTGCAGTAAAATGCAAATCGTTGTGAAATTTTCGGCTAAACAGATCACCATGGAGGTCGATACGACGGAGACGGTTCGCAGCTTAAAAGAAAAAATCCACATCGTCGATGGCACACCGATCAAAAGAATGCTACTCTTTTTCTCCGGAACAGAAATGACAGACGATTTCCGGAACCTGAGTGAATACGGGATATCCGAATCCTCGGAAATCATCGTTTTCTTGAAAACCATGAATCGTTTAAGGGAAGAGCCTCCGTCGAAGAAGCTGAACATTGTGGTGCAAATGTCTTCCAGCCTGCTGAATGCGGCCGCGATTACGTTCGAAATGAAGGATTGCAGCACCGTTAACGAATTAAGAGAGTTGTTGTTGAGCAGAAGAATTCTTCCCCGAGACGATTACTTGTTCATACACAAGCAAAGGATAATGCGTGAGAATTGTAGCTTAAGGTGGCATGGTGTTGAGAATGGGGATTGCCTCTATGTCTTTAGAGGCACTGTTAGTCGTACTGGATATTAATTAAGACATTAAATCAAAAAAACAACAAAACAATAAATGTCCTGTGAGTTTACATTAACAAGTTAACTTTCAGTACAAATCAAATAGCAAAGAAGTCCAATCAAAATAGATTTCTACCCAAAGTCCAAAGATCATTCAATTTCAGTACAAATCAAGCTCATCCTTCTTCTTTTTTTAATTTAATTGTTGCCTTTATATACTCCGTTCTATCAAACGAATCGTGATTATCATTATAATTTCATCAAATTTTAGCCTTTTAATCCACAGTTTTTTTCTAGAAAAAAAATGGGCAAGGCCATAGGTTCTCGAGGTCTCAAAATATGCTGTGGAGTGACTGCAATTCTCATACTTATTACTGCTATCGTTTTCACTGCTTTGGCCCTCACTCTTTTCAAGCCAAGGAACCCTGAAATCGCAGTTTACCCTCAAGGCTTCGACAACATTGATTTTGGTCCGGGAATGATTCTGAATGCGAGCACGATAAACTCTCCGTACCCATGTTAGTGACTGTCAACAATTGTAACTACTGGAGCTTCAAGTTCAAGAACACCGTGGGTTTTATAAACTATCGTGGGGCTGTTGTTGCGACGGTTCCAATTGAACAATCATCGGTTCCTAGCCGCGGGAAGCTCAATATCAGCACGGTGGCCGATTTCAAGGTGGAGCGTTTGATCATGAACACTACGTTTTGGGCGGATGTTTTGTCGGGATCAGTCAATTTCTCGTCGGTTGCCACGATGCATGGGAAGGTGACGATGTTTAAGTTGTTGAAGATTCATGCATCGTTTCCTAGCAAATGTGATATCTCGATTTTTATCCCAACTCGAAGTGTTCAGTCAATTTGTAAGATGAAAGTTAAGGTGTAAAATTTGTTTATTTTTATTCATAGTCATAGCATCAGAGTGGAGAGATTTTTTAAAACCATTTATTTTTCGTTCATTAATCAATTTTTTTGGGTTCAAATTGAAGTATTTTGGGATGAATTAAATAGTGCATCTTATATGGTTGTACGTGTGCAATTAGATATTTATTTAAATTCTAATTATTAATCAAATCAGATTTAATTATAATTTTAATAATCGGTGATTATTTGATGATTAAATTTATTTAAATAAAATAAACTATATGATAAAGATTCTTAGCGATTGAATATTTGGCTATATAAATAGAGAATATGTATTAGTTTTTGAATGACGAGAAAAATTATTTTAGAGAGATATAATCATTTTATAATCTTTATAATTTTTTGGGTTTACTTTGTAAAAAAAAGTGATAAGTTTTTGTAAGATTATTAGGATAGTGTTTTAGGATGCTAAATTTTTATTGGATTATTGGGAAAGTGTTTTGGGATACATCGGATTTTGATATATATATATATAGAGTTTAAGATACATAGAATATCATCTATTTACACCCTTCATGATCTCCATTTTTATAATTAATTGTTATTTTTCTCATTTGTAGAGGTAGATATTATGTATTTGTACTCTTCGTAATCTCTACATTTATAATGAATTATTATTTTTCTTATTATTGGAGGCAGATATCATATGTTTATACTCTTTGTGATCTTTACTTTTATAATAGACTATTATTTTTCTCATTCATAGAAGTAATAAAATCTCATCACTTATGTATATCTAATTTTATATTGATGTCGATTATTATTATACTTTCAAATTCTTTAACATATGTTGATGTCCCTAACCTTATTCAACGTGTTGAATTGAAACGACACAACAATTTTTAATGGATCTAGATGGCACTATTTTTGGTAGTTTGCACTCCCAAATAGTGAATATGGAACCTATCTCTACTCTTAATGAAACCTATCCATTGGTTAGTCAAGAAGAAAGGCAAAAGAACATTGTGAGGATAGAGAAAAAAAATAACATTTGCAAATACAAGCATCAATTGTAAAAGGATGATCAAGTCTACAAGTTCAAAAACTGCACAGGCCATGGGATCCAATGATCTACCCACTTGTACTCATCGTGGGAGATATGGTCATGATTATTACCACTGTTATCTAACCCTACTAAATAGAGATGTAGTGGTAGATAAAATTGAATTATTTTCGAGTCGATTGTACCTTCAAGCAAGGGTATAATAGGGTTGAGATGAGCCCGAATATATTGTACCTTCAAGTAAGGGTGTAATCAAGTCGAGATGAGCTCCAATAGTAACAAATTTGAACTTGATTCATGTCTCAAGATTTAGTTTTAGTTTAAGCTTGCTCGATGGTTATCAAATCAAATTTATTTTGTAATAGAAGATAAATGTTAAAATATTATTCTATATTTTAAATTTTTTATAAGAAAAGTTTACTAAATACTAAATATTCAAATAAAAATATATTCTTCAAAAATAAAATGGCTAAGCTTAAATAAGTTTAAACTATCCATTTATTCTTTAAAAGACATTCTCAATTTATAAATATAAATGAATTTAATAAATTTTAAATTAATTGAAATTTATATAGAATATGTGACATTAATCTTAATCACAACGTATTAATTGTAGCTATAGTTATGTTTATTCAACAACAACAACAACAAAACCCTGATTCCCATATGCAATGGGGTAAGGGGGAGGTAGGGTAGTAGGCTGACCCCAACGCCAGGTTGAGAGCAGCTTTCGTGGAAGACCTCCGGCAGTAAGAAAATTAAAAATAAAAATAAGATCAATGCGTGTATAAACCAAATGACGTTAACATGTATAAAAGACAGTGATCATGGATGGATACAGTTATAAGTAGGATGAACAAATTTTAGAGGGATGAAAATAAATTACCAATAAAAAATACATATAAATAATCTAAAATAAGGAGACGACTGTCCCACCCTTCTCCCTCAATCCATCCCTGACGGTGATAAAATGTCCTTAAAGATTATATTACTTTGATTTTGTTCTTAATATTATATTGATTTAAAGGGTGCTGTAAATGATTGAATGCTCCTTTGTGCTTTCCCTTTCAATTATTCCCAATTTTGTGTATATAAAAAATAATTTTGATTAAGATACGGGATTCTGTTCTAAGATTTTATTCTCTCTTGTAAATGATAAATAATTAGGTTTAAGTATAGAGGTCGTTGGTGGCCGGCAAATAAACTGAAAAACCGACCCTTATACAATGTTTTCAACCAAAAAGATATATAGACAAACTATTAACATATTACTCATTGTTGAACTTTACCCTTGATTGTCCCCCCCCCCATCCCCCAATAATAAAATTATGTAAACTATCTTAGCTATTTTGATTTGATTATTTATAAAAAACTATCTTATTTATCATCAAATTATTATCGTTTTTCACTTTGATTATTAAAATTTTAATAAAACAATCATTAACGTTTTGTTTTTGTTTTGATCACCAATTATTAAAATTAACGAGTTAATATGTTTTTTTTTTGTTTTTTTTTGTTTTTTTTTTTAATTTTTTGCGTCATCTTTTTCTCATATGGTTTAGATAAGACTCGATAATAAAATCATGTATAATAAATTGTTATAATAATTTAATTTGATATTGATTAAGTTTAATTCAGTTAATATTAATAATATATTATTTGTTTATAATCTTTTTAATTATTCGTAATGCATACATATCTTGTAGATACAATTACTCGAACTAAGGACATCCAGAATTTCTAAGTTAGATAATGTGAGAAATTAGTGTTTTGCGTACACTATAAAGCCAGGGTTATGCATAAAATTAAATTGACCTTATTAGTGAGATTATTTAATGGTAAGTGGTCATTTTAAGTAAGCATAATTAGTCTAAATGCTGAGGTAGATAATCTAAATTTAACATCTTAAACCAGCAATATCAATTAACTATCAATCATTAGCAGCCTCTTTTGCTTCAAATCCAATTATAGTCACGAGACAAAATTAACATCACTCACCCATTTGTCACGGGATACATCGTAATATCCATTAACTTATAAATTATTATGGAATCAAGTCGGGAATTTAACTCTTTTAAATAAAAATAAATTTGATCAAATTTTAATTTATTTTTAGTTGGATTCGAGTAATTTACGAATATAATATTATTTAATTATATGTTTAATGCAGGTATTAAAATTAAAATTTTATTAATTTTAATTTATTGAAAATGATTAATGAATTAAGTGATTACTAGACTTGAAGTTCATGTTTTTTCTTAATCAAAATTGCTAGCTTTATTTTAAAAAAATGGTGAATGTTATAACCATGATCGTAAATTGAACATATAATTATGATATTTTTCTTATATATATTGACAATAAATTAGTCATTTAAGATCAAACAAAGACTAAACAAGAAAAATGTTAAAAACTCAACCAATAAACTTAAACAAAAAAAATGATTGTCCCTTGTTCCCATATGTAATGGGGTAAGGGGGAGGTAAGATAGTAGGTTGCCCTCAACACTAGGTTGAGAGCAGCTTCCGTAGGAGACCTCCAAATTATGAAATGCCCTTCATGGGACTCGATCTCACGACCTCAAGGTTAAGACTACAATAAACTTAAACAAGATGGATACAAATAGATCCGATTGCATCGGCAAACGAACCACAAAATGAGATTAAAACTACTGAAGACCATTAATAAATCGTATATTAGAGTCGAACAGTATGAGAAAACTATCATAAACATACCTATATATCTAAATGTGAATCTAAAAGTCTAAAACAAGAAAGATCATCTATTTATTTTTATATGAAGATGAAAAGGGCTGCACATGGTTATGAATTAAATGGATGAATTTGTTTTCTTTAGTGGGGGCATTCACCTTGTTCTAGAATTCTCTTTATTATAAGCCGGTAATCACGCAAACGTCATCCAGGATTCTCTTTTTTATTTCTTTTCCATTTGCTATATTTTCTTCAACATTTCTAATGCTAATTATTATAAGGAATTGAAATTATAATAAAGATTTCATTATATAAATTAATACTAAATTAAATGGTGCAAATAAATCAACTAACCAAACTAATAACAAATCCAACATAAATTATACTATTAAATATTAAAGTTGTGGATTTAATTTATATTTAATTTTATTATTTTTAATCTACATACTTTTTAAATATTAAAATTTTGAACTTAAAACTTAATTATTAAATTTGTTAGATGAGTGTAACAGTAGAAATAGAATATAGACTAAAAGAAAATATGATAATTTCAGTTGTCAGTTCCACTCATTCAACGATATTGAAAATTTTACATAAGGCTAGAACTAGGGTAGCGGAGAAGTGTTGCCTTAGTTAGGTTTTAACCCATTTGATTTCATTCATTCTCGTTGCTTACTATCGTTGACTTCTATGTATTCTTCTCTTCATGTTTCCTCTTTTTAATTTATTCGGTCTTACGTTTCTGTCTATATGCAGAGCTTTTTACGCAGAGATTTATTTGCATGGATTACTTCCCATACAAACGCGCATACGTAGACTGCAGGGTTTTGTTGTTGTTGTTGTAAACCAAATATAATGGCTTTATATCACTCCAACACAATACTTCCAATTTCTCCCCAAATCTATGTCCATTTCAATACCCACTGCTTATCTATCAATTATCTTCAAAAGAGGGCTTCTCTTTAATTATTGAATATACCTGTTTAAATATTTATTATTTATATATGTTATATTTAATACTCAATGTTGCTTGACTTATTATTTATTCAACGGTTCATATATCATGTTTATGCCCAACAGACTGCAGGGTTTTGTTGTTGTTGTTGTAACCAAATATAATGGCTTTTATATCACTCCAACACAATACTTCCAATTTCTCCCCAAATCTTATGTCCATTTCAATACCCACTGCTTATCTATTCAATTATTCTTCAAAAGAGGGCTTCTCTTTAATTATTGAATATACCT